GGAAATGTATATAGGACCATGATAGTTAGCTAAGGACTAGTTAAAGCTTTGATCTATTTTATTACTATATTGGACTAAATTAAAATATCTTGTTTTATTGTGTCTAAATTCAATAATATTATTCTCCATGGTAAAGACAGCAGCAGAAATATTTCCTGAAACGTTTACCATGTGAACAGAAAAGAAATTAACCCTGTTCCTCTTCTTGCCCTGGTTAGGTTTATTAGTATAGAAGTAGCCAGAGCACAATCTCAAAGGAATCTCTGATTACTCTACTTGTGATTGTATATTCAAATGTATGTGTGTATGTGTGTGTATGTGTGTGAAATCCTTCTTAACTACAATGAAACTTGAAAATCGTTCACTCAATATTCATCCTCCCATTCTTTCTTGCTTTTTATTTTTGATTGAAGTGTAGTTGATTTACAATGTTGTGTTAGTTTCCAGAGATTCAGTTATACATATACATATATCTATTCTTTTTCAGATTATTTTCCCTTATAGGTTACTACAAAATACTGAGTACAGTTCCCTGGGTTATACAGTAAGTCCTTGTTGGTTATCTACTTTATATATAGTAGTGTGTATATGTTAAACCTAAGCTCCTAATTTATCCCTTCCCACCTGCCCCTTTGGTAACCATAAGTTTGTTTTCTATGTCTGTGGGTCTATTTCTGTTTTGTAAATAAGTTCATTTGTATCCTTTTTTTTAGATTCCACATATAAGCAGTATCATATGATATTTGTCTTTGTCTGGCTTACTTCACTTAGTATGATAATCTCTAGGCCCACCTATGTTGTTATAAATGGCATTATTTCATTCTGAGCCATTATTCATGGCTAAGCAATATTCCATTGTATATATATACCACATCTTCTTTACCCATTCATCTGTCAATGGACATTTAGGTCTCATTCTTGCTTAGTAACAAAACATTAACATCATTCAGGGAAGCAAAGTGCCCAGCCAAAATACATTTCCCAGACTGTCTTGCATCTATTTCGGTTGTGTGACTATGTTATACCTAATGTGATATAAATGGAAGTGTAGTTAGGAAAACTGGAAGGTTCCTTGAAGGAAGCTGTTTCAGTTGAAATTTGCATCTCTATCCCTGTCCCCTTCTTTCCTCCTTCCTGGTGCCTGAAATGTTGACTTGATGGTCTAAACACTTATGATGACTATAAAATTGCCATACCCTCTATGGACTGCCTAGTTCCAGATATCTTTATGTTAAAAAAAAGACCCATATATATAAAACACTGCCATCTTAAAGCTTTTTTCCTATTACCAAAAAAGACTTTCTTAAAAAATAGTAACTGTCCAGGGCTTCCCTGGTGGTGCAGTGGTTAAGAATCTGCCAGCCAATGCAGGAGACATGGGTTCGAGCCCTGGTCCAGGAAGATCCAGAGCAACTAAGCCCGTGCACCACAACTACTGAGCCCGCGCTCTAGAGCCCACGAGCCACAACTACTGAGCCCGTGAGCCTAGAGCCCGTGCTATGCAACAAGAGAAGCCACCTCAATGAGAAGCCCACGCACCGCAACGAAGAGTAGCCCCTGACCGCTGCAACCAGAGAAAAGCCTGTGCACAGCCACGAAGACCCAACACAGCCAAAAATAAAATAAATACAAATTTAAAAATTAAAATAAAAAAATAAAAAATTTTTAAAACCTCTCAATTTAATTTAAAAAACAGTATATAAAGGTAAAAAAATATATCTTTTTTCTTAGTTGGCATTAAGTGGATAATAAAACTGAACAACTTTATAGTGTTTTAAAGTTTACAAAATGCATCTCTATAAAGTTCTGATTTGATCTCAGATCAATCCTGTGTTTGGCAAAAATGGACATTCCTCCACATATTCTATGTGGGTTGATGTCAAAGGAAATGTTATTTTTAATGAAATTTCAGAATGTAACAAGCCTCTGGGGTAGTGAGATTTTTATAAGAGAATAGCTATCTTTGAACTAAATTAGACAGCCCAAGGATTATTTTTCTAACCAAAATAAATTTATAGGCCTAAGCTTTCTGTTTATGTAAAGATACTACAGTGTAAAACCAACAGCTTTTTCCTTGACTATTCTGACATCAGTAGAGCTATGTGACTGGCACTGTGCTACATGCTTTAGATGAATTATTTGTAATTATTAAACAAGAGTTAAGTGGTATTATTCTACTTCCTCAGTTAGGAAGCTGAGGTTCTAGAAGTTTAAATATTTCCTCAAGGTCACACATCTAAGAAGTGGTTTATATTGACCACCAGAATGAACTCCATTTCTATTTATGAAACCAAACAAATCAAAACTGTCTTCTCAAAAAAGGAGTTCATTCTAATCCTTTCAACCAGAGAAATAATGAATTGAACCTTTTTTTCACTGAATATTAACTCTCTTTATGTCTGAAAATATTTTTATCTTAAAGTCTATTTTATCTGAAACAATATTTCTTTGGTTAGAATTTCTCTGCTGTATTCTTCACCTTCTTTAACTTTTTTAACTTCTTTAACTTTTCAGCCTGTCTTTATTCTCTGAGCAAATCTCTTGAAAACAGCTATTGCCCTGTTTCATTTTCTTATTCCAGTCTGACAGCCTTTTCCTTTGAACTGTAGAATTTAGTTCAGTGATATTGAATTACGTACCACAATATCACCTGCACTGTTTGTCCAACATTTTGTTTCTTCCCCTCCCCCGCTTTTTTTTGACTACTTTTATGTTAAGTGTTGGTCTCTGCTTCTACCTTTCTGTAAGTAAATTATGATTTTTCCTAGGGTGAATTTATTTTTATTATGTTGCTTGAGATTCATTGATATCCCTGAATTTGAGCTATTATTTCTTCAAATATTACATCTCCTTCACTCTCTCTTTTTCTCTTTTTGAACCTCTAATGTAAAGGAATGCATGAACTTCTCACTCCATCCACCATACCTCAACCTTTCTTTCATATTTTCCATGCCTTTGTCTCTGTGTGTTGCATTCTGGATAATTATTTCAGTTCTACTTGGCAATTCATTATTCTCTCCATGGCTGTGATAAACTGCTCAAGTTTATGATATTGTATCTCTCACTTCTAGAAGGTCTACTGGCTCTTTTTCAAAAGTGTTTTGAGAAATTTGACTGTCCTTTGTCTCTTAATCATTATTTTAATACTCTCCTTTATTTCTTTTGACATATTAAACATTTGCTTTATACTTTTTAAATACACATTTTTACTAACATGTGATTTGTTTCATTTTTTAAAAAATATGAGCTCTTTGGTGCCTCATGTATAGGAATACTTTGAGGATTAAAATGTGTCCCTCCAAAAGAGTATTTTCATTTTCCTCTTCCAGGCCACCAAAGGACGCCATTGAATCTGGAATCACTTTAAACTAAATTTTTGTCCCTGTGTTCAGTGGGCTATATACATATTGTGAATTCAGTGTTTCAACTCAAGTGAGAGGGAGCTTGTGGTTACTAAATATCAGGGGAGATTTCTTTTCTAATTCCCTTCAGAACCAAGGACAAAATAAGTCAATTATCTCTACCACCTCCTTCTGCCGAGCTGACTATTTAATCTCTAGTTTATCCACTGGGCCATTTGCAGGGGTCTCTGATCTGCTCTCCAACCCTCTTCAGAGCCCAGGACTTATCTCTTGTCCACCACCCATATGGCCTGTTAAAACCAGCTCTAACTTTTGGGGATAAATACATATGATGTTAGGAGCAAATAGAGGCTTTAGCACTCACTTCACTTATTCATCTAGGTAGGACATTCCTTATGGGTTACGACCCCAAGCAATTACTTTTATCTCCTACCATATCAAACATGTATTAAAATTACTAATGTTTGTGTGCTTAGATTTTTAGGCTTTCTATACTACTAAGATTATTATTGAGCATCTAGTATGCTATATTATGTTTATTTTTCACTCTTAAATACACACATACACACACATAAACATATAGGTGGATTCCCACTATTGGAATTAGTTCCTATAGAGTTAAGGAAAATTTATTTTTGCCCTTTGATTTTGTTTTTTTTTATTGTGTTGGCTAACTTAGGCTTGATCTGCTAATATGTGACTTGAAATGCTTATTAATATGCAAAAACTAGTTCAAATAATATAAAAGAAAAGCTACCAAGCTCTTCAAACTGTGCACACACTAGGTAGTTAACTGGAAACATGAATTGTAAGCTGACCAACCCCTAGTGAATCTTCGAGTAAAACACCTAGCCAAATTTCACACCCTATTCCAACATATATTTAAACCCATCTGCAAGCCACACTAAAATATATTTGGTTAAAATAAACACTTTAAGATTGAGTTTAGATCTTTAGTTTAGACTTTTATACTACATCAGCCTTTCCAACAAAGAGTGCTATTTTTTAAATTGTATTTAATTTGGAATGTTATTTTTATTAAGATGATAACCGAATCTTTTTATTTTCTGTCCACTTATCTGCATTTAGGTGCAAATATTTTACAATTTCTTTTTCTCAAACAAATCATTCCATCCCTTTCCTAGCTTTCTTCTTTTTTCCACATGGCAACTTATCTCTTTCTGAAAGCAAGGTATATAGCTCGCTGGCTTAGTTGCTGGCTAATTTTAGTGTGAATAAACTCTTAAACCTCAAATTTATTTATGCTATATTTTGTTTTGTCATTTCTTTTCCATTAGTGTAGAGAGCTCAATTCAATTAAGAAATAGAAGTAAAATGTCATTATTATGCACCTTGTC